TCCTTCCTAAGGGGGAAACCTGGATACTGACAGAGGCTGAGATGGGTGTAAAGCAGCTGCAAGCTAAGGAACACCAAAGACTGACAGCTACCATCGGAAGCTGGGAAGAGGGAAGGAACACCTCCTCCTACAACTTTCAAAGGAATATGGTTCTGCCAATACTTTGATTTTGGACTTCTAACCTCCAGAACTGTGAAACAATAGATTTCTGTTGTTCAAACAGTCCAGTTTGTGGTACTTTGTTAGGGCAGCCTAACGAAACTTATAAAATACCAATTCAATGGCTTTGTTTGGTATTTCAAAGTTATATATAGGGACTTTTCCTCCCATGCCTCAAAAATTGTTTATAGATAATACATTTTTAAAAGAAACTATTAGGACTAGCTTTTCTCCTCCATTCTCAATAAATTTTTGTGTGTGTGTGTGAGGAAGATCAGCCCTGAGCTAACATCCATGCTAATCCTCCTCTTTTTGCTGAGGAAGACCAGCTCTGAGCTAACAACAACTACCAACCCTCCTCCTCCTTTTTCCCCCCAAAGCCCCAGTAGATAGTTGTATGTCATAGCTGCACATCCTTCTAGTTGCTGTGTGTGGGACGCGGCCTCAGCATGGCCGGAGAAGCGGTGCATTGGTGCGCGCCCAGGATCCGAACCCGGGCCGCCAGTAGCGGAGCACGCACACTTAGCTGCCAAGCCACGGGCCGGCCCCCATTCTCAATAAATTCTTAATAGCTTTAATCAACTTTGACTACTCCCAAATTCCAGTCATATAATACTTCACAGCCTTGTTATATTTCCTTCTTTATTCACAGTACTCTTTCTGGCAATAAACAGAACTAAGTCCTACATAAGTATTCATTAACAAAATAAACTAAAACAAAAGTTATTAGTGAATCAAGATTTAAATGAACTACCCACATCCAAAATAGCACCTCTAGATGAATTAACGTTTCTATAATATACTGTAAAACTTGGGACATAAATTCACCTTTCACCCACAATATGGTAGGAAATAGTAAATAATTTGACTTTTTTCCACTTCACACCTTAGAAATTGTTACAATTCTTAGTTCACCATAGCAGTCTGACTTGGTAAATAAGAGAGGCTTGCAATTCAAAAAGAAAACTTTTTGTGAGTGCAAGCACATTTCAGTATGAAGTGGCTAAGACTCTTTTGCATAAATCAAGTATCTAACTGCCTTGCATTATCTCAGAGAATAGATATCATCTTGCAGTGAAAATGGCTGAGGCAGGGACATGACTCCTCAATCCCAGTGGGAAGACAGTCAAGGAGTCCATGATCTCCTCATGCGGCATTATATACAAGCTCACACACTTCCCAAAATCTGGGACACTGTCAACATGACTTATGAAAGCTGTCTTGGCAGCCTGGATAAGACAAGCTAAAACCTACTTTAACTAGAAATGTGACAGAAGAGTCAAGACTCTTGTGTATTCCCATAAACTCATAAAAAGATCAATTGATGGGACAAGTTATAGACATTTAACCTTTGGTAGACAACACTAAGAGGTTGCTCCCATTTACACCCAGGAGAGGCCAGAAAATGGGAAGGGTCAGACACAGGGACATGAATACCAAGGATCTCAGGGAACAGTAGACCCTTCAATTTAACTAAGGTTCTGAATAAAAGAAGAGCAGAAATACAGGAAAGTCTCCTTACATAGAAAGGAGACCTCATCGAGGTAAAACCTTGAAGATGTAAGAGAACCAGGATGTGGTTAAGCTGAAAAGAGACAGCAATAGGTAAAGATGAGCTGGTCTAGGAATCCCCCTACGATGCTAGATTCAAAGGACAGCAGTTCCCCGGGAGAGGTGACAGCGTCTCCTCCAGCCCTCCCTCCTGGCCGACAAGCTGCAGCCCAGTGGTCGACAGTAACCAGCAGACTCGCCCAACCCTGACACAGCCCCATCACAGGTGACCCCAGACGCCCTGTGGGGAGGGGCACCTTAGAAAGGAGGGAAAGGTGCACCAGGCAAGGGTCACAGAGAGAAGCTGCAGTGCAGTGAGAACTGGCCAATTCCCAGAACACCATAAGTGAGCATCAATCCACTCAGGAGGAACTGAAAAAAATGATAATTGGGGGAATGTAAAGGACCAACTTACTTTATATTTTACAACACTTAAGTCAACAATATTAACCAGGAATTAATATACAGAGATATAAAAGATATACACTATCTTCTTTACAAGCCTAGAAAAGTGACAGTTTCAAAGAAGTTTGTTTCTATCGAAAACAATCTATAGTGGTTACTGACTTATGCTCTCTAAAGAAATAAAAATTGTGCAAGATTGTTTTCTCTATTACTCTATTCTATATTTTCTACAGATTTAAAGTATCCTTCCCTCTCTCTCCCACCCAGGTCAGTCCAAGGCCTGGACCACCAACATTTCAGGTTCATTCCTTTAAGTTCAGCAGCATCCTTGTCATCCTCTCCTCTCTGTCTTCTCTTTAACTATGTACCTCTAAGAAATCAATGTAGATAAGTCCCTAAGTGTGATCCTCTAGATAGAGGCTTTCAAACTTTTGACCACAACTTACAGTAAAAAATACATTTTACATCTGGAGCCAGAACACACCAAAAAAATTGTATCCATAAAACCTACACAGAAGTTCCTCAGAACATTTACCCTTGCTACATGTGGTCGACTGATCTTCTCCATTCTACTCCACATTTTTTTTATGCTAGTGCCCCAACTATTAGATCACAACTCACAGTTTAAAATACTTAGTAGATTAAATACACTGATATATCTCTTTAAGTAGCAATATAAGGAAATAGCTCAGAGTTCTGCATTCAGGCCACCTGTATGCAAATCCCCGCTTTACCCTTATAAGCTGTCAACCTCTCTGCCTCAGGTTCTTTGTGATGGGGTAAGAAAATAGTGTTGACCTCAAAACTGAGGATTAACCAAGACCATCCACATAAAGCACTTAGCACATAAACACTATTCAGTTAATGGCTATTAATATTTCTTAAACAGTCCATGGACTTTTTATTACAGAAAAATATACATAAAATTCATCATTTTAACCATTTTAAAGTGTACAAGTTAGTACACTCAGTGGCATTTAGTACATTCACAATGTTGTGCAACCATCACCACTGTCTAGTTCCAGAACATTTTCATCACCCCAAAAGGAAACCCCATACCCATTAAGCAGTCATTCCCCATTCCACCCTCCTCTCTGGGTCCCGGCAACCCCTAACCTGCTTTCTGTCTCTAGGTCCACGGACTTTTCAAATAATAAGGTAACACTTGACGAGAAGAGCTTTCAAGAGTAGAATGAAGTGTTCCTTGGAGTCATTAGTCCTACGGTTCATGAGACTAATGTCTGCTAACCATTTCTTAAGTAAACCTTGTGAGCCACTGTAGGTAATTCTATGACCCGTCTTGGGTCAGAAATCCCTCTCTCTCCTGTGAATTCTGTTAAGGCAAGATTCCCAAAGCCTGACCAGTGCTCTGGAGACCACTTTCTGTGTCCTCAAGAGGCAGAATGAGGGAGGCCCTAAAAGGATGTTCCTTTATTACATTGTGGAATATCACCAAATGACAGAATATTCACCAAATGAAGAATGTCTATTCTTCAGTCTTTGCATTTCGAAATTCTGCTTTTGAGGCTCCAAACTTTTACTATCGAGGGGTAGAAAGTGAACTTGGACACAGAACTAGAGGTCTATTTCTTGGTTTTACTTAGGATGTAGCATCATTTCCTTTCTGGGCCCCACCCCTCTCCCACTCTGATTACCCACCCTTCCTTTGGGGTGTGGAAGACTGGGCAAAAATAACTTTGTTCTTCCCTAGATCTACCCAGGGAGTCGCCAGACATTCTATCAGAGAAATACCAGGGGCAGGCAGGTTACCTTGGGAAGCAACACTGTTATTCTTTGAGAAATGGTGATGGTCCAGAAGGCTTCTTATGCCAAAGAAATAAACGTCACCAAGTGACACAGATGTGAACTGGAAAACAACGTCCTTGGTCCCAGCTGTAGAAGGCAGAAGCTTTTCTTTCTTTCTTTCTTTCTTTCTTTCTTTAAAGACCAACGTGCTCACCCAGCAAAGTCCTCAGTCATTTTCCACTCCCCCTCCACCCCCGCCCCCACACTGACTGTTCCCTTGCCTCCCGGGGGAAAGCCAGACCTGTCTCAGGCGCCAACAGCACTGGGCCAGCCCAGCTTATCTGGATGGGGCGGGGACAGGGGTGGGGGGAGACCGGGCGCGGGTGAGAGAGGGACTCAACTCCGGGTTCCAGGGCCCAGCGAACCTCCCCGACTCCCAAGAAGTCACTTTATTGCTTTTGGGTTTTTTGGAGTGGGGGGGAATAGGGCAAGAAGGCTCTAAGCAGCAAACTAGCCCAAGAAACTTCACACCCCAAACTCCGGGGAAGCCCGTGCCCAGAATTGTGCCAAACTCTGAAAAAGCCCTGAGCTGGAGTGAACTTGATGTGGACAAAAGAGAATTGCAACTCTCTGAAGACTCAGGTCCCCTAGTAAGTCAGCGAGAGTGCGGGTCCCCGCGGTTGGGAGAAGGATCACCCCGGGAGCTTGAAGCACACGAAACCAAGGCTTCACCCCAGACCTACAAAAAAATGAGATCTCAAGGGAAGGGACGACCGAGGAAGCCGTCACTTCCACAAGCACCCAAGTGATCCTTATCACCGGCATTCAGGGTCCAGCACACGCCCCCACCATCCGGTCCCGGGCGCTCGGATGAGACCGGCTGCAGGCAACGCCCGCAGGGCGCTCAGTGACCGCGGCGCCAACGCAAGCCCCGGGGAGGACCCCTCGGGTGGACACGCCGCGGCCGCCCGGGGCACCCGAAATGCGCCCCACGCAGGGCCTCGCCTTGCGGGGCGGCGGGGCCGGCAAGGTGACAGCACTCCGCCCCTTGTGCCAAGAGTGAGGCAACTCCGGAAACTTCCCGGAGCCGACGCGCGCTTCCCGCGGCCACCTCCCCGCGCCCCGGCGGGAGCACTGACCTGAGATGGTCTCCTGGTAGCCCTTGGTGAAGAACTGCATGGCCGTGGCCGCCCTCCAGGGCGTCTTGAGCAGCCCCTGCCGCTGGGGGTCCTCGCCCAGCGAGCGCAGGATGGACGAGTAGGCGGCCGCCAGGTTGGGCAGGTTCAGCTCGTTGTCCTCCTCGCTGCGGGGCCGCTCGCCCTTCCAGCCGTCCGCCGGCTGGGCGCTCTTGGTCTCCGGCCGCGGCGGCTTCTCGGCCGGCCGGCTCGGCCCGGGCCGCGGCTCCCCCTCGGGGAACCCATTGCTGCACCTGGCGCCCCGCGGCTTGGCCGGGGCCCGCACCGGACCTTTCTCCATGGGCCCGCCGCTGCCGCCCGGGAGAGACGCTGGGGCGCTTCAGAGGCTGCAAGTAAGTTCGCCGGCGGCCGCAGGGAACAGGCTGTAGCCGGAGTCACTTGACGAAGGTAGGCGCCCAGGCAGCCACTCACCGAGCAGGGACAGCCGGGGGCTGGAGCGCGCGGCACGCCTCCTTTTTATGGCCGGCGGCTCGGCCGGCGCCGGGGGGCGCTCCCATTGGCCGGAGCCGCCGCGTCACGCGCT